TTCTCAAGACATGGATAAATTACTGCTCAGAGGTTGTTCCTTGCACAAGGTATGCTACGTACCAGCTAGTGTAAATACATCTTTGTCATAATCAAAGTCTAAGTACAGAGTTTTATGTACTGCTTTATATACATACATGATCTCACACATGCATTGCTTCTGATATATGCATAATGTGTATCTGCATGTAATTGCAGTTGCAGTTTAGTGAAACACTTGCAATGACTGCAACATGTAATGTGTTGCTTCTGTAAGCTGTTATTTTCATTTCATATTTCTGTTTGGTCTGTTTATTTATACTTACATTTCGGTCTTGAGCCAGATGATCAGGTTGATTACTTTGACAATCAGTGGCCGTGCTTATCTCAACTTCATGGGCAATGAATTTGGGCATCCAGAGGTGACATTACTGGCTCCTGCAAGTACAAGAAGTTTATTTCACGTGAGACGTGACTAATGATCTTTCTCATGTTTCAGTGTGTTGAGTTCCCCATGTCAAGCAACAATTTCTCGTTTGCTCTTGCCAACCGTAGGTGGGATCTTCTTGCCAAGGAAGGATTGCATCGGAACTTGTTTATCTTTGATAAGGTATCAACTATTAACTTTTTGTTGCCATCCTGTTGCCCTGACATGCTTACATGTTGTGATCTTGTGGCTCTCTCTGTTATATCTACTGTTGTTAATAGTGCTGAAAGCTGTTTAGTATAGATTTCTAATAACTTAAAAAGTCCCCCATAAATGCAGTTTCTCTAATTTCGCTCTTCGCTTTACCATTAACATATTCAACTTGAAGTTGCGAAGTATTAATTGGTCGTTGTTCTTGAGAGATTAAAACATCCCTTGAGATCATGGTAGCAAAGTAATTTTTATCTTTCTTCTTTCCTAGGACTTGATGAAGTTGGATGAAACTGAAAGAGTACTTGCGAGAGTTTTACCGAGCATTCACCATGTGAATGACAATACCATGGTACTGGTGAAACTAAACTCAATAATGCATTTGGAAAGAATTTTATGCCTTCTACTGATTATGATATTTCTTTGCTATTTACAGGTAATAGCTTACATGAGAGGCACCCTTCTATTTGTATTCAACTTTCACCCAACAGATTCTTATGAAGGATATGGAATAGGTGTAGAAGAGGCTGGAGAGTATCAAGTAAGTTTTATCAAACAGCTTTGAGTAGTTTAAGTCAGAGATATGGTTTCTAACTCGTAATTTGCATTGTGTTCTTTTATTATATGTGTGCTGGCATGAATACATGGATTCAGGGTATGTTGGAGATGATATATAGTCTAGTTTAAATTGGAGATTTTATATGTATATATCTTTTATATATGTTTCTGTGTATGTCAAGCAGTTATATGTATTAGTCAAGCAATTATATGTATTTGTCTAACTGTAGAGCTTCAAGTAAATGAACCTGTTACTTTTCTGACCACAGCTCGTGCTAAATACGGATGAAATAAAGTATGGAGGTCAGGGACTTATAAAGGATGATCAATATTCTAGGAAAACTATTAGCAGAAGGTAAGTACTGACTACCTTTTCAATATTTCTTGTCTTCTCTATTTTACCCGTTTGTGATTGCGTGTTTTTTAGTTCAGTTTTGGTTACTTTCTTTGATTCAGTGATTGATGTTGTTCTGTCACCACTGTGCTTGGTCTTTGCAGAGTCGATGGCCTCCGAAACTGCTTAGAAGTGCCTCTGCCTAGTAGGACTGCCCAGGTTGGTCAATTTTTCTGCACGTTGTTTTTGTTAGTATTTTATTTTGTGGCTGTTAGTTTTCCGTGCTTTGGATGGCTAGGGGTTGGCGCTACTATTCTTAAGAACCCCTTTTTCAATTTGTGATGTATTAAGTAGTTGTTAAACTAGACTACATTTCGACGTTCATATTTATTTGGTTAAATTTCTTGTGTGCAGGTTTACAAACTAAGCCGGATCTTGAGAATATAAAGAGTATTGCACTCAGAAAGCAAATTGCAAGCTGACTTTGAAGAACGAAAGCTAGCACCTACTACCTACGGGCCATCACGTTAAAGTATATATGGCTGTTCACCACCTTCACGAGTGACATTGATGAGGGGATCTCACAGTTTAACAAGAAGTTTAAGCATTCAAGAAGAAAGGCTGTGCATTGTTATATCCTCTACGTTATCGTGGTTCTTTCTTTTGGAGATTCGAGGGTGCTAATCTTATTTCTCCCAAAAGCAAACTCGAGGAAGCAATGCATTGTGTCCAGCAAAGAGGGTTCAAGCTGAACTTCTGGATGACGGGAATTACGATATTCAGCGAAGAGGGTTCAAGCTGAACTATTTCTCACCCTACCTCCTCAAGGGGGAGAGTACCTTTTGTGTGAGGTAAAATTTGAAGAGCATGCAACATATATAAATTAGGCTGGACGTCAATTCTAGCTGAGGAAATGCCGATAGGCGGCTGGTGGAGGGTGTGTGTTGAAGTTTGGTAGTTAAGACTTGAGAGAAGCATATGATAGAAAGTAACTTAATCTTTTTCTTTTTTGTCCCCCTTCATAATCTTAAGTATTTCTTTCAGAACAAGAATTTGAGGAGTACATAACAATTAACAGGTTAACATTTAAGAACATGGCGGTGCTATTCACACATCCATTTTCAACCGTCGGATTGAATGAATTTGTTAGGATGTTAGATGACATCATCTTGTGGTGATAGATTTACAATGATATTAGTTAGAATTGAAGGATTCCTACAAATAGTATCTTGTAAAAGAAGAAAAGCAATTAATGAAATAGTGTTTGGTATTTTGGTTTTCCTGAATATCCTTTGATGTCGACGGAATATTCTGCCGGTGACAATAAATTTGGGAAATTCTGGTCAACGTCGACGAACTAGGCCACTGTCAGCACATGATGACATGTGAGTTCCTTTCAAACACTATTAACTCCCGAAACGAGCAAACAGAGGGAATATTTGAGTATTTTTCCTTAATTGTTTGAGTTGACTAGTTTAATGATTAATATAGTGGAAGTACTTTGGTGGAGTTTGAGGATTACTGACACTTGCTGACATCGACTTTTGATAATGTAGTAAGTTATTCCTCATTATTTTGTATAAATATCCTCCTATTCTCAGGATGAGAATGTTCTTTAACTATGTTGCAATTTTATCTATGCTCCCGACACTACATGCATTGTAATAAGGTTCATGTCAACACCGAGCACTTTTAGTTTAATTTAATTTAAGGGTAAATATCAGTTTACTACTCTCAAGTTTTGTTATTTTTAACATTTGGTACATGAAGTTTTTTTCGTCCCAGAGTCATACCTAAAGTGTTAATTTTGGGACAGTCTCATACGTCCGTTAGTCTAGCTGTTAAGTCTTCCGTTAACTGATAATGTGGCGCCAATGTAGACAATGACTGGGCGCCACGTGTCATTAAAGGGTCCACATGAAAATTAAAAATTCAAAAATAAATTATTAAAAAAAAAACACCCTATTCTTCCTCGAATCCCACCCGTGCCCACCTGCCCACCCCTTCTCCCCCAAATCCCACTCGTGCCCACCCCCCTATCACCCCCTTTCTCCCACTCCCTAACACTCTTTCTCTCGCACCACTCCTACCCAAACTCCCGCGACTCCTCATTTCACTCCTGCAAAATCGACCGCAACACCCCCGACCAACCCCACTCCGCAACCTGCACCTACAAAGTCAAGTTTATGTGCAGCTACAGCGACAAAATCCAGCCCCGCCCCCACGACCACCAGCTCGCCTACGTCGGCGGTGACACCAAAATCCTCGTCGTCGATCGCAATATCAAGCTCTTTGCTTTCATCTCCAAGCTCTCCTCCCTCTAAGACACCCCTAATGACGTCAATGGATCCTCTTCGACCGCTCCGGTCACGGCTTCAGTTCAGATCGGGTCTCCTGATGGATCCTCTTCGATGGTTCCAGTCACGGCCTCGCCGACAAACCCTGATTTCCTAGGGATCGCCACATTGAAGAATCGGTGATGTCTCAGGCGGAGATTCAGGAGTTGCAGATGATGCAAATCGTTGCTGGTCACGAGCCAAGAGGCACATGAACACAGGGGGTATCCGGTGACGACTAGGGTGGGAGGGTTTGCTGAGATGGGGTGGGTGGGATTTGGGGAAGACGAAGGTGGTTTTTTTTATAATTATTTTTTAATATTTAATTTTCACGTGGACCCTTTAATGACACGTGACGCTCATTCATTGTCCACATAGGCGCCACATCATCAATTAACAGGAGACTTAACCGCCAGACTAACAGATGTATGAGACTCTCCCAAAATTAACACTTTAGGTATGACTCTAGGATAAAAAAAACATCATGTACCAAATGTTGAAAACTACAAAACTTGAGGGTAGTAAACTAATATTTACCCTTAATTTAAAATTTTGGTTTTAATTTATTTGTACCTTTTACACATCACTTCATATTACGACTTCATCACCCTTCAGTTATCGACCAAATATGCCTCGATTTTTAAGTCCATGTACATGTTCGTGTTGGGTTCTCTCAATGTCAAATTTAATCTTTCCCCATTATAACGAGCTAGCGAGTCTTGTCGTACATGAATCATTCAATTAAAGGTCAATCCGAATTCGTTAAGCAACATGTTAAATTCTAATCGTGCTTTACCGTAACAAGCTAGCAGGTGGTTTTGTATACAAGCTCACACAATTAAATGTCAATCCAAATTTGTTATCACATGGAATTTGAGTTGTTTTATCAAATATTATTTCATTATATATATAAAAGTTACAGAATTATTAGTGAATCCAATTTTATTAAAAAGTTGTATCGAATTTAATTCATTCGGATAAGTTGCTCGGACGCATTTAAAACCGCATCCATGCGACAGAGTGGCGCGTAGACACACTTTCCCTTTCAACAGTACTACTATATCAGTTCAAAGTGAGGTGTCAACATCAGGGGCGATTCCCACGCGCATGTCCAGTACGTGTCTTCAAATATAAAATCAACTCCTCCTCTAGAAATAGTACTTGTTTTCTTCACTCTCTCTCCTCTCTCTAGACAGAAAGCTGAGAGCGAACTGTGGAAAAGCAATGGCAAAAGCTGAGAGCTTTGACAACTTCCTGCTGTGAAATGGCGAGTCTCTGCTAGTTTGTGGAGATGAGCGCACCGTTTGGAGGCCCGATCGGTTCTAACCCCAGTGCTGCCGGAGCCCAGCCGAACAGGGACCCGAACATGGCGTCGGCGGAGCAGTTGGTGCTCGAACTCAGCAACCCCCAACTTCGTGAAAACGCGCTCCTTGAACTCTCCAAGGTCTAATCTTTTTGCTCTCATTATTTCTGAATAATTTGGTTCCTCTGTGTTTGATTAATCCCTTTTAGCATGTTGGGTTTTTGTTTAATTTTTGTTTAATTTTTGTTATAGGGTTTATGGGGTTGAAGATTTTATGATAAAGTTTGGGTTTAGGGTTTGTGATTTGGGTTCTATTGAGTTTTGTTTTGTTTTAGCATCATTTCGTTGTTCTGTGATTCTGTTTGTTTGCTGAGAAAATCAAGGCAATTGGGGTAATGAGATGATTATTTTTGCATGATATGTGTTTCGTGAGAAGAGGGGTTGCGTTCTTTTTTTCTTGTCAGAGTTGAGACTTCAAGTTATCATCTTTGTAGTCACAGCATGCATGTGGTACCCACCTTACTATAGTTGTTCCTAGGGTAGGATCAAAATTGGATCTTGATGCATTTGTTTATGTTTCCGGTATGTCTGTATCGATTATGTGTAATCAATTTTTGTTTTAGATGGAGTTTTGAACCTTTTCAGTTATTGGTTATGGAGAAGGTGGGTAGCTGCAATCTGTTTTGTGTGTCTGGGTTTAGAATGGTGTAGTCGTTGTTTAGAGTATAAATCTTAACGTCGGGACTGCAAAGCCATGCACATAATTTTACATTACGTATCCAAGCACACAATCTACATGTCAAGCCCCCTACGGCTACACGTGCTCTCATGTCATCCCATGTATGCGTTGTCCACGCGCTTAGCTCCATGTGTTTAGCTCAATTTACTCTACACTACACATGAGGGTAGTGTTGAGTGTGTTTACACAATTGGAATGTGAAGTCTCACATAGGAATATATTTACGATCTTGTGCCTCTCCACTCATTGTCAATTGGTCCTTGGTTGGGTGCTCTAACTTTATCGGTGGTATGGGAATGAAAGTGATATAAATGCCATTATAACATACTAAATAGGCTGCATAATTTCTTAATTTGCTTTATTAGTTTGAAGTTTTCATTGACTACATTAGTAACAGTTGCATATCAGATTTGGAAAGAAGTTGGTTCTATCCATAAGAGCCTGACGGTGCCTTCAAGCACTTACCAAATACTATTTTGACCTAATTTTCTCTTTTATTTTTAAAGTTATAAGAAAAGAAAAAATGGGTATGACTATACCTGTGATACAACGATAAATTTGCCACCCGTGTGAGCTATGCTCATGTGTTCTTCACTGAGGAAATAAGTTCTTAGTTCTTACTGCTAAAATTTTTGTGCTGAAAGTGTACTTGGTTTGCCTTTCGTGGTTTTTATTTTCATTAATAAGATTTGTCTTTTTAATGTTGAATCCCTTTGGTACTATATATGTACATATACACATACTCCTAGTTAACCCCCTGTTTCCTTTCCTGTTCCCCTTTTCAGAAGAGAGAATTATTTCAAGATTTGGCTCCATTGTTGTGGAATTCTTTTGGTACTATAGCTGCTCTGTTACAGGTATGTAATTTTTTGGTTTTATATTCATGTCATTCTTATTGCACTTCCTTTTTGTTTTGCGGTTTTTGTTCGCTTGTTTTGTAAATTCGTTCATCTACAAGGGTAGCAAGTTTCTTTCTGTATGTAGGAGTAGGACTTGTGTTATACATATGTCGGTGCATCGTTGACGTACCATCATTTGACTTCCTGTTTGATAAATCAACATTACTAGACACTCTCTTTTGTCTTATTCCCTGATGATGGATTCTCACTCTACTCTTTATCCTTTGTGCAGGAGATAGTTTCAATATACCCTGTTCTGTCCCCACCAAATTTAACTCCTGCCCAATCAAATCGAGTTTGCAATGCTCTAGCGCTTCTTCAGGTCCATTCTTGTCGCCTTTTAAATTATATATGTAATCTTTATCGATGCACGTTATTTTTGTTCTAAACTACAGTTATCTTCCATGTACAAGAGGCTTGGCCTATATTTTACACATCTCATTATTATTGTATGCTTCATATTCCTTTTGTATCTTCTTGTAGTGTGTGGCATCACACCCAGACACAAGGATGTTGTTCCTTAACGGTAATAACATTTATCTTGTTTACATTTAAAGCTTGAAATGTTCTTTCTAGCGTGCTTGTACACAGAAGCATAATTTTTTTTCATGCAGCTTCTGTTAGATGTTTACGTATAAAATTTAACCAACGATTTTTTCATTTCTCCTGTGGTTGGTAGCTCATATACCTTTATATTTGTACCCTTTCCTTAATACAACAAGCAAGTCAAGGCCTTTCGAGTACTTGAGACTCACTAGCTTAGGAGTCATTGGTGCCTTAGTGAAGGTATGTTATTCTTATTTGGCAAACCGATAGGCATATTTGTCTTTTTATTTGTTTGTGTGATAAAATGAACAAAAGTAAATAACCAGCTGATATACAAGTATAACTGGATAGGTATATGGCCACATGCTTTGAGAAATTATACATAAAAGAGTTTAAATATGAAAACTTGATGCATGCCTTGACTAAAACCACTCTTTCCAATCTTGCTTGTGTAGCTGATCTGAGAAATAAAAGGACTAGCAGAATCTAACGTGAGATAAATGAGGGGATAAAAAGAACGCTTAGTTTTTTTATTTATTTATTTTATAACATTGATTGAGTTAGGTGGCTTTACTACATCCATCATTTAGTGAAAGATTTAACTGGACCCTTTCCAGTCCTGTAGCGTGAACTCCGACGAGAAAATAGTTTATCTGTAACATTACTTGTAATATTATTCTGCACATGCACCTTTATTTGCAACTCTTCTTCTCCCTCTCTCACATGTGAAACCTGAAGAGGAGAATAATGTTACTGTGATAAACCCTATATAGCATTTTTATGCCAGACAAATATATTTGGAAATTGGAATATTAATTCGTTTTACTTCTTTATACCAGGTCGACGATACAGAAGTGATTAGTTTTCTTCTATCAACTGAAATAATCCCGTTGTGCCTGCGAACTATGGAAATGGGTAGTGAACTGTCAAAAACAGTTGAGTGTCCGTTTCTTTTTAGCTTCCCATCTTTATATGTTTCAGTAGATCTCAGTATAGCATCTCAGCAAAGCCTTTCTCTTACTGCCCGAGTTTGAATGCAAGGTATATGGTTGCCTGACAGAAGTTGTTATCATCACAGGTGGCGACATTTATTGTTCAAAAGATTTTGTTGGATGACGTAGGCTTGGATTATATCTGTACTACAGCTGAGCGTTTTTTCGCAGTGGGTCGAGTCTTGGGAACCATGGTTGCATCACTTGCTGACCAGCCTTCATCTCGCTTGCTAAAACATATTATCCGATGTTATCTACGATTGTCAGATAACCCAAGGTTGGTTGAATGAAGTAGATTTATTATTATTACTTTTGTTTCTTCAGTATCTCATGTTAATCATTTGATTGGATCTGTTCTTTGTTTTTTTATCATCAGGGCTTGTGATGCTTTGAGGAGCTGTCTTCCCGATATGTTGAGAGATGCTACCTTCAGTGTTTCCCTCCGTGTAAGTACTTTTCTGGATGCGTATGTTGTGTAATTCATAATTGATCTTAACGACTAGTCTGGAAATAAAGTAAAAGCTAACCTGTTTCGTCTTCTAGGGTACATATAGTTGCCAGACATAGTTTGTGAGATATTTGAAAAAATATACGTTTGAGTCTGATTTACTGTTTCTTTTCGGTATCCCCTACTCTTTTATTTGGACGCAGTTGTCTGGTCTACTTTCAAAGTTAATTATATTTGTCACGATTTCAGGAAGATCCAACGACAAGGAGATGGCTGCAGCAGTTGCTTCACAACGTTGGTGTTAGTCGGGTTCCTGCGCTTCAGGGTGGAGGAGGATTTGATCAGATGATGATGAACTAATGCAAATAATTCGGTGTCGTCTTTGGGCTGCCATCTGTTGCATAATGCATCAGAGAGGGCTGGATGCTTTTTAATTTATCTGTCTCAATGCTAATTGGCCAACTCTTTTATCTTTCTCTGTAATTTGCAAAATGTTTCTTCTGTAACTTGGTCTGAGCAGGCCAAGTTTAAACTATTGACTTCGCTTGAAGTCGATTGTTCCCGGAAGAAATAAATGGTCTTCTTAGTTGGTTCATCTCTAATGTTGAATTGTGGCAAAATTATGAATAAAGTGAACCTTTTTTTCTGTAAACATGTTTTGTTTGAATTGTGACAATCCATTGATTAGAATCAAACTGAACTGTTTGTTGACGCGGACAAAGTCGAGGAGAAACTCTGATTCCATCGGAGGCAAACGCCTACGCAAAGATAGCTTAAGGAGGAGAACCTCAGAGAAGTGCCGCGGGTGGGGAGCGGACATATTCTACCATTAGTATAGTGACACGTGATGTAGTGACACGTGATGTACCACTCTGTGTTCCAGTCACATTGAAAAAGTGACACGTGATGTAGTGACGCGTGATGTACCACTCTGTGTTCCAGTCACATTGAAAAATTTCTCGGAATTGAGAGCGAAAGATGAGTGAAGGCATGCCAGACAGGCAAATACAGTCACTTGTACATTTCACGAGGTGGTACTCTCGGGCATATAAACAAAAAGAGGTATTCATCAATTTCTCCCCTAAACTTGTGACTATTGGCCAATTTCTCCCCTCAACTTTAATTTTGGCCAATTTCCCCCCTCAACTCTCATAATTATTCAATTTCCCCCCTCAACTTTAATTTGGCAAATTTCCCCCCTCAACTCTCATAATTAGTCAATTTGCACCTACTGTTAATTTTTTAATTTGATCATAATTAAACAAGTGTGTGTAAGAAACTAAATAAGATGTATGTTAATCATTTTTCTATGTCTTTATCCTATTACAAATAGATTAAAATTTAGAATTTTACAATTTATCATAGATAGTATTATTAGTCATAATAAATCAGTATGGAGTAATTTTATTTGATTTTTTACTATACAAAATTGATAACGAAAATGATTGATGTGTACATTTTTGTATGTGAATACAATTTTGTTTATAAAAGTGAAAGCTAAGTTCAAGTAAATTGCGGAGAATCGAGCTTTAGTGCAAAAATGGCTAGTCAATTCATAATTTTCGACTCCTTATTAAGAATAACCCATTTTATTGAAATAGGTCTGATCCATGAGTTTAGGATTATTATTTCTTCTTCTACATGCTTTAAACCCGATTCATAACTTTTTCTTATAATCAACCCATATCACATACTAATTGTATTATGTTTTTGTACATTTTACCCTATATTATGCAGGTGAGTTTATGTTAATTTTAGTACTTTGTTGGAAGTTATTAGAAAGATTGAAAGAAAAAAAAAAGAATAGATGGAAAATTAAAAAAAATTAACAGTAGGATGCAAATTGACTAATTATGAGAGTTGAGGGGGGGAAATTGACCAAATTAAAGTTGATGGGGGAAATTGACTAATTATGAGAGTTGAGGGGGCAATTGGCCAAAATTAAAGTTGAGGGGGAAAATTGGCCAATGGTCACAAGTTCAATGGAGGAATTGATGAATACCTCAAACAAAAAAGGATAAAATGTCCTTCTAGGCTTGTTTGTTCGGCCGAAACAAAAAGGCTATGATTTGAAGCTAAAGTAGTTGGCTGGCAACAAACTTGTTCCACTACCTCTACCGTGAGATAAGGGTTTGCTGATATTCTGTTGCTTTTCTTTGTCTCTGATTCTGACGATGATACTCTACTTCATCTGTCGGAAGTGTTCTATGTTTGGGCACCATAAACTTTTCTTGTTGAAGAGCCATCTAACAAATGAATAAAAGCCTGTGACAGTACTAAGCCATCTACTTTAGGAACATCAAAATTCATTTACTGATGCGTCGGTCCGCCATATTAAAGCACAGCACAACACCCAAATGAAGGAAATTATCCCTCAAACAGACCTACTTTTCACCCTAAAACTCAAAATCTCCAACTCTTGGCTAATGGAAGTTTTAACAAAAATTGTTTATTGTTCATCATTTTTCTGTGAAATTGTTGTTGGGTTTCTATTGTTGTTAAGAAATTTGAGGTGGAAAAGAAGTAAATTTTGGGAAATTTGGAAAAAGAACCAAATTTCGGATTCCAAATAGAATTCTAACCATCATTTAAATTTTTTATTAATTATAACCAAAAGTGGATATGAAAATACTAATACACCCTTAAAATAAAGTTTTCTAAACAAAAAAACCAAAAAACAAAAGACTCAACTGTCTTTTACCGCCATCTCTGTCATTTCTAGACGATAATCCAAAACCACATAAACTCAACCCAAACACAGCCAGCCATGGCGTGCAGCACGATCCCTCTCTCTTCCTTCTCCTTTTCCTCTTTTATACTCTCACACACAACCTTCGTTTAGTTCCGAACCCCCAAAATTTTTTCGATCTTCTCCACAAGAAGATGACTCTCAGTTTCAGTCTCAGTCAACTTCCTCCTCTACTCTCCAATTTCTAATTTTCAACTACGACGATGTAATCCTTGAGTTCGAGCACTTGCACCACCAAGCTTACAACGAGGCATTCACTCACTTTAGTGTCCACTGCCCTTCCTCAACATCTCAGCCCCTCAACTGGGACATCCACTTCTAAGATCAGCTCCAGAAACAAATCGTTGGTGAAAAGCCCAAAATACGATCGTCCCTTCTTTTTTTCTCTCATTTTCTCCAAAGATTGAACTTTGGATTTTGTTTTCTTCTGTGATTGAATTGGGGTGTTGGGTTGTTTAAGGAAATCAATCAAATAGTTAAGCCAATTCCATTCACAATTCAAGAGTTCATAACTGGCATTTATCAAATTATATTGCACACATAATCATGGCTTTGAAATCACCCCTAGCCAAGAGGGGTTTAGCCACTCATATTTACAACAAAACGAAAGGAAATGAATTTAAACATTAGAAACAAAAGAAAGAAAACACCTAAACGCTCCTACGATCCAAGTTGGACAGCAAGCACGTCCAAGCACTTTCCTTCCCTTCCTTTGCTACGGCACAAGGTGTTGGTGAGTGTTTGAAGGTTTGTTTGTATGGAGGAATGGATGTGAAGATGAATGGATGTGTTTGGATGAAGGTTGTGTTAAAATGGGAGTGAATGATCTCACAAAGTATGAACTCAATTTATGTTACACACACTTCCTTTTATAAAGGAAGTGCAAGGCAAAACATGGGTAAAATGGAGTGGTGTTAAAATGATTCAAAGGTGAAAGTGAAGTAATGATGCAAAGCATGGGTAAAATGGAGTGGTGTTGAAATGATTTAAAGGTGAAAGTGGTGTTGAAATGATTTAAAGGTGAAAGTGAAGTAATGATGCAAAGCATGGGTAAAATGGAGTGGTGTTGAAATGATTCAAAGGTGAAAGTGAAGTGATGATTGATGTAAGAATTAAACATGGATGGAATGCATGGCAAAGGTTTGTTATGGTACAAGGAACCCTTAATTTGTGTCCTAAAATGTATAGGAAACCTTCAATGTTGCTGAAACTTAGGGAAATTTAGGATTTAGGAAAGATCAAACCAAAATAGGAAACATTGGCTTAACTTTCCTACTTCAAGTAGGAATCCTCATCTTTAGGTCTTCAATTTCGTCCATTCCTTTAGTTCCAAGCATGTGATATTTATTCCAAGCCCAAAATTGCTCCAAAAGGCTCCAAAATGCACATTTTTGCATACTTTGTCCTTAGAACCTGAAATTGCACAAAAATGACTTTAAACACTAAAACTACTAAGGAATAACAACATAAATGCACGAGAACAAGCTAACTTAGTCGCATAAATATGCTCCTATCATAGACTCATTTGAGGAATTGAGGAAACTGTTTGTTCCTCAACACATTTTCCAGACCGATCGCTTACACTCTGCGGATGACTTGTACACTATTCACCAGAAGATAGATGAGTCATTACATATGTATGCTAGCCGCTTTAGTCATGAGTATTCCCGTTGTGCCGAGGCAGACGACAAGACTGCCCTCAAAGCCTTCACGACAGGCCTACGTGACTATTTTTTTAAGTACATGATCAAGGCCAACACTTAGAAGACTTACTCTGAGGTGATGGCGCAAGCTTATAACCATGCCTCCGTCGAGGCATGGACATACCAAGAGAAACCCCTAACAACCATCCCCTATCAGCAAGTGGGGAGTGGAAGCCAGACCCACCCAAATGAAAAGACCTCAACCTTCCAAATGGCAACGGTGCTTCCCTCTGCCTTACTTAATACTTTGCCAAGTCAACAGACATATCAATCTCAGGACAAAAGGAATGATTTCCATCCTCACCAGTCTCATTTTAGTAAAAGGAGTAAGGGACATTACCACGATAACCAAGGGTATCGCCACGATAATCCCCGACCCCAGGTAGTCAACACAGTAGGTCAAGCATGTGTCAGGACAGGCCCTACCCCGAGGTATGAGGCATACACACCTTTGAATGCCACATGCGTGGCCATTTACCCCAGCATAACACACTTGATACCGAAGCCAAAGCCGAGGCACCCAGATTACAAGCCCATGAAGAACACATGCGCGTTTTGTTGCTACCATGAACATAACAGCCATGATGGCGAGAAGTGTATCACTATTCGTGATCATATTGAAACTTTGGCATGTGAAGGAAAAATTGATCAATTCTTCATTCACCTTCCAAGGGGTAACCGTAACCAACACCAGGTGAATGTGATATATTCCATAAGTGGCGGCACACCCATATTTAAATCTTCCAACAGATCCATGAAAAACAGCGAACGAGCTTTAAGGCCTGGCCACTAAGTGTTTCACGTGGAAGACATCAGGGGAGGCAAGTATCAAAAGCCTAATTGGGATCCAATATGTTTCTACCCTGAAGAAGAAAAATGTATCATCTACCCTCACAACGACCCACTGATCGTGGAAGCTCACATAGCCAACTTTGAAGTACGACGAATCCTAGTAGACACGGGGGCTTGGTCAATATTATGTTTGCTGAAGCTTTCAGGACACTTAATGTAGCTGAACACTTGCTCGATCGCTCGATTTCTCCTTTAATAAGCTTATTCGGTGATATCGTGCTACCTTTAGGGAGCATACACTTACCTTTCACCATTGGTAGATGCCCTTATACAGCTACCATTACCACTAACTTCCTGATGGTTGATTGCCCAATGGCATACAATGTCATCTTTGGATGCACAGGCATCAATGATCTCAAGGCTATAATATCCACACATATGTTGTTGATGAAACTTCCAACCCCCTATGGCAATGGTTACATTAGAGGAGATCAACTTAGTGCACGGTCATGTTACAACACTTTGGTCAAGCAACAACACCTGCATATGCCCAAGGAAACCATTTCTATACATGACCAAGTCATAAAGACCAGCCCGGACGAAACCAACTTGGTTATTCACGGTGGCAACAGTTAACCAGACAATCCTCGAGATAACTCTTTCACCCAGCAAGCACAACCCGCTGAAGAGTTAGAAAATGTCTCTATCTCAAAAGATTATCCAGATCGCATGGTAAAGATTGGCCTACCAAGATTGCTTTCTCAAAAATTGAAGAAGCACTGCTATCCGAATCTCGAAAGCCAGACTCACAACAAGATTGTTTTCTCAAAAATCAAAGAGGCACCGCTCTTCAAATCTCGAGAGCCAGACCCCCAACGGGATTACTTGCTCAAAAATTGAAAAGGCACCGCTCTCCAAATTTCGAGAGCCAGACTCCCAACATGATTGCTTTCTCAAAAATCGAAGAAGCACCGCTTTCCAAATCTCGAAAGCCAGACTCCCAACATGATTGTTTTTTCAAAAATCGAAGAGGCACCACTCTCAAAATCTCGAAAGCCAGACTCTCAACAGGATTGCTTTCTCAAAAATCGAAGAGGCATCGTTATCCGAATCTTGAGAGCCAGATCCCCAACAAGATTGCTTGTTCGAAAACCGAAGAGGCACCACTCTCCAAACTTCGAGAGCTAGATGTCCTTGGATAAAGCTTATCTGCAATCTTCACACGCAACATCAGCTTTCCAAATACCACATACCACTTTTTCAAAGTGCTATGACAAAGTTAAAACACATGAATCTTGCAGCTCCCACTACATTGCTATGACCGATAAGGGTAAAAGAACAACATTACTACTCGCTGTTGGGACAATTCCTATATATGTCGACCTTCATCCTCCATAGCCAGGCAGACCTACAAATAAAAAAAATGCTCAACTTTTCTTCACATTCGAGAGGGCACTCTCAGCAGAGTCTCTCGAAATATTCAGCTTCTTTTCCCCCCGATAATACCTCTGCGAATAAGCCACACCAGAGTAAGAGTATCTCATATCATCAGGTTTAAAAGCAAGAGTATCCCATATCATGTTTTTTCCTGTCTTTTCCTTTGCCCTTGCTCTTACCTGCAGGACAAGAAGAAAGAACGCAATCAGTCAGAACATGAAATCAAACTTCCGATCTGGAACTGATTGCCTGGAATCTTTGCATGGTTGCTTGCCTAACATTGCTCTCGAGTACGCATCCTCAACTGTTGTCAAGGTCGTGAATTCTTTCGGCAAATACCTCAGAACAGTTGATACAATATTGGCTCTTTACACTGAAGCTGCTAAGCATAGATGAGTCGCTGAGAAGTAGTGCTTTGAATGACCATTCAAATGCAAAGGTTGCACACCACTTTTGCGATGTAAAAGATTGAAGCAGAAGGTTCAACGATGAGTTGGAACAGATCACTATAGCACGACGCCTTCCCTGCAGAACTGCATAATCTAGACGGATGAGTCTAAGTCAAATCCAAGCTCGACATCGTTGCCCTATCCGAATAGCTCGAAAAGCTTCAACAACCTTTCGCTGATGCCGTCGCCAAAGAGCAAAGCCTCACCATGCTACATCTACTACTTTGTCAATAGCAAAAGTATCCCATATCATCAGGGTTGAACATACTCTAGATTTGATGGACTTGTTTTGACCCTCAAATTCTTGAGTCGGCCTTATACTATGGAGGAAACCAGAAAACCCTTCAGCCCAGTTCAAGAATAAACCTGTGGAAAGTTACTTCTTCAAAAGCAAAAGTATCTCCTACATCTCTTCTTCTTTTTCTTTTTTTTATCCTTCTTGCTGCCTGCAAGATAGGGAGAATGAGAACAATCAGCCGGAACTTGAAATCAAACTTCTGATTGTTTACCTTGTCTGTCACCTCTTTCGGCAAATCTCCGGCGACTTGGGGGACTCCTACTACATGGTTTGTATCGCGCTTGACCAAGCCTGAAACTACAAGTAAGCTTCAAATGAAATTGATACATTACCTTGTGCATCTCTACCGGTTAAAGATACCACCCCTGGATGGAGGAAAAATACTTCCAGAGAAGATGCCACATCTACTTATGAGACATAAAAGGTAAGTGAAAATGATACCACACTTCGGTACTTAGAAGTTTTATGATTACTCAACGGCTTGGATCTTGAAAGTCCCCAACCGAGGAGCTTTCCTCACTCGGGAACTTAGGGGAGCACTGTTTGTACCATACTTGACCAATCCCAAAACTACCGAGCACCGGTCAACGTTATACCATCAAGGACCCATAAGAGTTTCTCTCCAAGCAGGAGGCAATCACAGCACGACATGTGTCAACATCAGAAACCAATCATAGCGCAACACGTGTCAACATCATAAGCCAATCACAACACGACACGTGTCAATGTCAGAACAAAGCTAGAAACTCTCTTCTATAAAAGAAGATCATTCTCCCACAATATTTCCTAATGTCATTTGTACTAAATCATTCACTAGTACTCACTAAAGGAGAGCTTGAACCTATGTACTTGTGTAAACCCTTCACAATTAATGGGAACTCCTCGACTCCGTAGACGTAGCCAATCTGGGTGAACCACGTACATCTTGTGTTTGCTTCCCTGTCTCTATCCATTTACATACTTATCCACACTAGTGATCGGAGCAATCTAACGAAGGTCACAAACTTGACACTTTCTGTTGTACCAAAGTCCTCACTGATTTTGTGCATCAACAGTTATAATTATCAAAAATTTAAAAAGGTGGCTAGAATTCTATTTATGATCCAAAATTTGGTTAGTTTTCCAAATTTCGCGTAAATTTTTGCAGGATTTATTTTCAAACTCTCTTTATCTCTCAATTTCTATTTTAAGAGTATATTACTACTTTTATATCAACATTTGGTTATAATTATCATAAATTTAAAAAGCTGGCTATAATTCTATTTAGGGTCTAAATTCTGGTTATTTTTCTAAATTTCCTAATTGGATTTCAACTTATATTATCGTATTCAAAGTTGTTCAATCCGTCAATCATATTTTTCCATTGCATCGTTTTACCCATAATTATTTGTCTATATTTTTGTTAAAATTTCTATGTTTTTAAACCCCTGACATTTGTTATATAACCGGAATTTAGCACTAGGATGAGAGTTTTTTCCTTTTCATGTCACTACTTCACCGTACTTAAATTATTTATTAGACAGATAAAATATTTTTTAAACACGTAACAAATATTTATTAGACAACGACGCAACTGAGATAAAATCCCAATTGTAATTCGATAATAATCCGTTTCCCCACTTCCCTTGGTTTGGCACTGTTTAAAGCTGGTCACTTTAAAGAAGTACCACCCATCACGAACCAGGCGCCTTAAACTCAAAACTTGTCAGACTAGTCTCCAACTTCCAAGTGCCAACCTCATAAAACCCATAAATATTAAAATTAAATTACAAAAAACCTCCGCAAATCATGATTTGCATCGTGGATCGTACGGTCCAGCCGTCGCCGGAAATTCAGCAGTCCGTGGCAGCCGTGGAGCAAATCGTGGGCTACAATTTCAGGAACAAGAGGCTTCTAGAAGAAGCCTTGACCCACTCCTCCTACTCCGAATCCCCGTCGTACCAGCGCCTCGAATTCATCGGCGACGCCGCTCTCAGCCTCGCCCTCAGCAACTACTTCTTCCTTGCTTATCCTGGGGTCGACCCCGGCACTCTCTCTCTGCTGCGCTCCGCCAATGTCAGCACCGAGAAGCTCGCACGTGTGGCTGTCCGGCACGGCCTTTACCGCCACCTCCGCCACAATGCACCTGCTCTCCGCGATAAGGTTCGTTATAATTAATTAATTATTCTCTCTGTTCTCAATCGATTTCATTTTTTGTGACTCTCTGGATTATGTGTGAAAAGAAAGAAAGAACAAAAAGAGGAACATTTACTTGGGTTTTTGTTCTTGTTTGTGTTTTCTTGTTGTCTGGATTTGTGTTGGAAAAGCTCAACTGTTTCGTAGGTTTTAATTTTGCTTTCTTTTAAGAGTTTTCCCATTGTTTTTCCGGGTTAATTTTCTTAAAGGATTGTTGTTGTCAATTAATGGTTTAATTTTAGGATTTGTGTGCAATTTGCTATGAATTTTAGGTTAAGGAGTTCAATGAATCTGTCGAGATAATTTCTTTTGTTTTATTAAGGGTTTGGGTTGTTGATTTTTCTCTTTGGTCAGAGATTTGGGTTGTTATTTGAATGGTTTTAATTTGGGGGTTTCTGTGCAATTTGTTCTAAATTTTAGGTTAGGGAGTTTACTGAAGCTGTCACTAGAGAAGACGAGACGCCGCTTGTATATCGTGGTTCCGTGAGAGCTCCTAAGGTTCTTGCGGATATGGTGGAGTCTGTGGCAGCAGCTATGTATGTTGACTTGAACTTTGATCTGGAAAAATTGTGGATGGTGTGTATTTGATTAGCTTTTGTTAAGTTTCCAAGCGTTTAGAAGTTGGGTATAACCTGTTAATTTTTGTTGTTGTTGCTGATGTACATTTATAGAAATTTAGGCGCCTTTTGGAGCCTATTGTTACTCTTGAAGAAGTGAAAAGTCAACCGCAACCTGTTACAGTGTTGTTTGAGCTTTGCCAGAAGCACGGGAAACATGTTGATATCAAGCATTGGAGAGATGAGACCAAAAGTATTGCTAGTGTCTATGTTGATGGCGTGTTTGTTGCCTCGGGTTCTTCTGAGCAGAAGGAGATTGCCAAACTCGATGCTGCTAAGATAGCTCTTTTTAAGTTGTCGAAATCGTTGGGTGTAAGTGGCAGATCGATGGAGTTTATTGCCGGAAATGATGGTAAGTTTCAAATTGAAGAAGCAAAACAAAAGTTGCATGAGCTTTGTGACAAGAAGAAGTGGCCTAAACCAATTTACACGTATGAATCGCTTTACCCTTATCATGATCTCTAAACGTATTTGAAGAAAAAATGTTCTCTATTATTGGAATTAATTTGTCTATTCTGTAGTTATGCATATTGGTATTTGTTTTTCAATTGCAGCATTGAGAAAGATGAAGGTCCTTCACATGAGAAGAGATTTGTATCGTTGGTCAAAATTTCAACTGCGGATGGTGTGCTATGCATGGTGGGAGATGAAAGGTCGAGAATAAAAGATGCGGACAACTCTGCAGCTTCGTCTATGATCTGTGCTTTACAAGAATCTGGTTATATATGATGCAACTCTAATTCTTTTTATGTTCTGAGATGTATGCGTGGTAGGCTCTTGTGCTTCCTGCTGCATTTGAAATATGAATGCATGGGTTAGAGGACAATTCCGTATGCAACTTAAGAGGTTGCAGTTATGCAAGAACAACCATGGATTATAGGAAAATGTTGTGTCTCATGCCTCTAGATTTAGGTTAGGATTTGAGCCTGTAACATTTGTTTGTGCTCGTCGTAGTTTTTTCAGACTGTCCATGCCCCCCTTCAAGTGATTGTTTGATTGGATGGAGTTTACTGGTTGTTTAGGTTCCACAAAGCACTGAAATGAAACAAATGAAAGTTTGTCCTTGTTTTGATTGGATTGGAGCGAGATCTCGATTAGGCATGGTAGTACACTTTGAAAGTTGAAATCAGCAATTAGGTGGTTTCACTGCTAACACTGTTACAGGTGAGATATGGTTCTTCTTAGTCAGCGCATGGATCTTGCCTGGAGATTTGAGGATTTTAGCGTTCAGAATTATGCTTCTGAACTTCTTCGCCTCGGTTAGGGCATGATCGAGATCTCGGTCTTCATTAAGCTTTTGATCTTCCGAGTGGTTTAGTTAGAATCTTGGAACATCACAACCTTACAAACTCTCTCAAATTCTGGACAGATCGATCAGTACAGCCACTCATCAACCTCGGCACCGATACCATTTCCCTCCACTTTGCATGATAGTTCTTCACCATAATACCCGCCTCACTCTCCTTAAATCCATATTTTTCTAATTATTGCCTGAAAATTTTGTCTTTAGAATTGTTGGAGTAATAATAGAAAATATGAAAATAATAAAAGAATTTCAATGTTAATAATCATAAAGAAGATCACAGCATTAGATATGTACAGGATTAATACAAACAATTAGAACTATGGCGAACCTTATGTATTTCATACTCTCTAGATGCAACTTGAATTTGGGAATAAACTCTATTGCCGATAAACAACGGCTATGAATGTATATAGAACTCAAGACCTTGTTTCATGAAGAGATGTAACTCTATATCTCAATAACAAAAATATATAGAATTTTAACATTGTAATGAATTCAAAGTCTTATGAAAAAAAAAGAATTTATAAATTGATGTATAACATTGTTCTAAAGATCAGGTATGGATTTTTACGTAATTCAAAATTAAACGTAATAAAATGTAATTTCCTATTTGGTTAGATGTGGTCATTTTGATGGGAACTTTAACAAAAAACTTCTGATACTGTTTACTTTAATGAAAAATCACATTTTTACCTTAAAAAGGTCAATCATGGTACTATTTACTTTACCCTAATCATGGTACTATTTACTTTATCCTAATCATGGTACTATTTACTTTACTCTTTATTTTGTCCTTATTGTTAAAATTCAAAATTTTCAAATAATTTTCATTAGTTTTATCATTTTATTTGTTTTATGTGGTCCTGCCACACCACTGATTCACTGAAAAATCGGAATAGATTACCATTATTCAATATTCATCAACCAATTCCCACATGACAACCTCGGCCTCACTGTTTTACCCCTCTTCTTTTTCTTTCTCCTTGCCATTCTTTAGTCTTACTTTTACTGTTAAGGTTGCTTTACTTAATGGAAAAAGGATCACCGCCGGATCCAGGAAAGGATCCGGAAGATCTCGTAATCGTGTATGTTCATTATACATCGTACGGTTAAAAATTATTTAAAATTTAAAATTAAATATAAATACTACCTAACAAAAATTGATCGTATAATATATTATAAATGAACACGATTACGAGATCTCCCAAATTCCTAGAAAAAGGATCCGGCGAGGATCCTTTTCCTTTCTTAATTGCCTCAACACTATAACCAATTCCCAAGTTTTGGATCTCTTCCACCAATGCTAGCGAATCAAGTGACTTGGGTTTTTGAAATTTCGTCAAACCGTGCACCTGTTTTGACCTCTTGAAAGTTATAATAAATTTTGACCGTTAGATGAAATTTCAAAAATCCGGATTACTTAATTCGATGATCTTGAGGCTATCTCCAACCGAAAGGTCCAGAGGGCCAGAGGGCTGAAAATAGCCCGAAAACCGTCTCCAACCGAGGGTTAGGCCAGAGGGCTCGTGGAATCTGAGAGGATCCCACGGAATCTGAAAGGGCTGAAATGCTAAAACTAAAATTCTTTTGTTTTTTTTTTTTGGTTTTTTTGGGCCCTTCCTTTTGTTTTAAATTCTTAAAATTCTAATTTTTTTCCTATATATACCTAAACTATTCATTCACCATTCCTACACCATTAATTTGTAGTTTTTAAATTTAATTTGTTGTTTTTAAATTTAAGTAGTAGTTTTTAAATATAAGTTTTTGTTTTTAATTTAAGTTGTTGTAGTTTTTAAATTTAAATAATAAATTATGTTTGGTTTTATGGCCCTCGGTTGGAGAATGTTTTTTGTGACAGGGCTAAAACAAAGCCCTATGGCCGTTTGGCCTCGATTGGAGAATGAAGCAAATATGACCTTGTACTGTTCATTAAAATATTAATATTTTGAAAAATCAAAAGGTTAAAACGAGCAATCTGACCAGCTCTCGATTGAAAATAGCATGATGAAAAATATCCGGAGAGGATCTATTCTGCCACGTTACAACCTCGGCCGCACTGTTTTACCCTTTTTCTATTTTTCTCTCTTTAACATTCTTTAGTCTTACTTTTAAGTCTTACTTTTACTGTTGAGGTTGACTTAATTGCTCCAAGACCAGCAACCGCGATCGATCTTCCAATTCAGCAACATGAAACTCTTCACTACCTCAGCGTCCCTCGATCGCGAGCTTCAGCCATCGCTGGAAATGAAAGATTCAGTTACGGCCATGGAGAAAATCGTAGGTCACAACTTCAAGAACAAGAGGCTCCTAGAGGAAGCTCTCACACACTCCTCCATCACTTACTTTCCCTCGTATAAGCGTCTCGCGGTGCTCGGCGACGCCGCCCTTGGCCTCGCTATGAGTAAGCACCTCTTTCGCGCTTACCCCAATATGGATCAAGGCAAATTCTCAGAGCTCCGCTCCGCCAATGTTAGTAAGCGGAAGTTCGCATGCGCCGCTGTAAAACATGGTTTTTATGACTACCTTCGCCACAATTCACCTGCTCTCGATAATGAGGTTATTTCAAAAATTTCATTTTATAGATTGTAAAATGAGATTTTTGAAATTTTAATAACAATTTTCTTATTTTTAATACTTTTTTAAAATTGAAAAGTCGAATTTGCATTTTGTAGAGGTTTTTAATTTTCAGAGGAGCTATTATTGGCAATTGGGCATATAAAAGAAGAAATTATCATATACTGAAATATAAGAAGGAAAAAAATGCAATAAAACTCGAATGAAATTTTTTATTTTTTGCTTTAAATGCCAATAACATCTTTTATTTTATTTTATTTATTTTATAAGAAGTTAAATATTAAATATTTTTATTTTTTTAAAGGAAATCAACAAGGGGCTTCACTACGATAATCTGTTCTTTTGGGTGTTGGGACTCACAAAGCATTTCAAACCCATGTCTTTTGAGAAAAGACTGATATATCATAACATGAAAAAAGGGAAAAAGGAGAAAAAAAGAAAAACATTTGTTTGCATTCTAAAAATTCTATTTTACACTTTTTGTATACGTATTTTTCTTTTTAAATATAAAAAGTTTGGAGTGAAAAATAAAAATTTTAGAATGACAAAAACAACTCTCTTAAAAAATGTGTTCATATAATTAGAGTCACAAACATATTACCTGAGCTTTTGATTACCAACTAACTAATGTGAACATTAATTTCTTATATCTATGAAGAGGTTTGTAAATGAAACAGTGTCACACATAAGTTGGTATTTAAAAGCAGGTGCCTCTTTACCCCCTTTTTTTGTAAGTTTTTATTGGTGAAATTTGTCTAAAAGATTTGTGGCAGCGTTAAGTAATGGTATTTTTACTTTTGTTTTTATGAGCAATTTGGTTTAAATTTTAGGTAAGGGAGTTTGCCAGAGAGGTATCGATATGGAATGGAAAAAATGAGGCGACGCTTGTATATGATGGGGCTATACAACCCAGTCGTGTTCTTGCTGAAATTGTGGAGTCAGTGGCAGCTGCTATATACGTTGACTTGAACTATGATCTGGACAAACTATGGATGGTGCGTATTTCATTTGCTTGTTTCATTTTATATTACACTTATGGAAACCTTCATTGAGTTTTTAATTAGGGTTTGGAAGTTGGTTTGAACTCTAACTAGTGGGTTTGGTTAGTGTTTGTCTTGGTTTGTGTATTGTTTTGGTAAGTTTTGCAACAGAAATGAATGAGAAATTGATGGACACAAGAAGCTGGAATTGCAAAGAAAATGAAGAAAGAAAAGTGGAGTATATTGCTCCTCTTGGATTCGATTTGATTCGGTTACAGATCACAAACACTGAAGAGGAAGGAATATAGTCGTTGCTTCCTCCACACTTGCAGCATGACTCGATCACGTGCAAAACGCCTTGATCACTTAAACACACACAGCTAATATAACTACTGGCATACATCCGACGGTCTATTACAAAACATGATCAACATGAACTTAAATCCAAAAAATGAAAAACAATCTGTTGAATAAAATCTGCACCAATGCTTATACTTCAACCCTCTTTTCTAAACTTGTTGCATATTTGACTCCAAGTAATCCTCTAAGCATGTAGAATCTGTCCTTTTGCAAAGCTTGAGTAAAAGTATATGCCAATTGCTCTTCAGACTTGCAATAAATGAGATTGATAACGTTGGAATATTGCAAAGTTTCCCTGATGTAGTAATACCTCCTGTCAATGTGTTTTAATCTTTGGTGAAACACAGGATTCCTTGTTCTTCACTAAAATCCTCCAACACAAACTTCAACCACACTGCTTGAGCTGTTGCTTCTGCAGCTCTCATACTCAGCCTCTGCAGTTGATAAAGCTACACGGTGCTACTTGACTGAAGCCCAAGAAAAAATCCCACTACCAAATGAAAAGGCATAGGCCGAAGTGCTCTTCATATCAGATTCATCACCACTTCAATCACTATCACAATATCCAATCAACGGTGATGATTTCCCTTTTTCATATTCCATTCCATAATCCAAAAGTACCTTGAATGTACCTTATGGAAATTGGAAGTTCCAAGATGTTTCTTGGTAGGATTGTGCATAAACCTTTATAACAAACTTGTAAACATTATATCAGGCTTTGCTGTACAAAGCTTCATCTACAAGATCACTTCCATCATCATTTTTCAGTTTTTCATTCACAGCTAGTGGAGTACTAACTGGTTTACAATCCTTCAATCCAAATTTTCCAAAAAAAGTCCATGCATATTTT